AGTCTGTGTGATAAGACACATGTAGATCAAAGCTTTCAGAAAGTTCCAGAGACTGATGCTGTCAGATGAAACAACAAACCGTCATCGATAGAACATATTTTACAATCACAATTATGTCTTTTTCGTTGCTTGAAAGAGCAAGGAAACCTGCACTCATGCACTTTCATCACGTTTCAAAATTTCGTGAACATGTAGGATTCTTTCTGCATTTTTGTGGGTTTCATTTGCTTCATTCCTTCTTTTCGTTTTTCGTGAAAAGCGCATATACATATATCTATGTTCGAAAGTATAGCCAGCTGTCTTACGCTTTCCGCATTGACATGGCCGATACCGCAGTCTGTGACCACAGCAATCAAGAAGGCATTACACTTATCTTTTGATACTGCTGACAGAATAGTGGACAGTCACTGTGTCTTTGTAACGACCTCAAGAGATGAGATAATTAAAATTTAAGGGAAAAATACAATATTACAACTGGGTGAAGGTTAAACTGATGAGAGCGGCTCCAACTCCGAGCTACTTGGCATTGAGGTACCCCCAAATGAACTAACAGCTTTTCATCAATGAGATTGATTGATTGATATGTGGGGTTTAACGTCCCAAAACCACTATATGATTATGAGAGACGCCGTAGTGGAGGGCTCCGGAAATTTAGACCACCTGGGGTTCTTTAACGTGCACCCAAATCTGAGCACACGGGCCTACAACATTTCCGCCTCCATCGAAAATGCAGCCGCCGCAGTCGGGATTTGAACCCGCGCCCTGCGGGTTTTTCATGAATAAGAAAAGCTTTTATGATGGCTACCAAAATATCGCTGTTTGGGCTGCATCTTTTCTTAATATATGTTCTATAAGTTACTTAATTTTTTTAAATTAGCACGGTGTTTTTCGGAGGTTGATACTACTTTTTCGGAGAGAATACGCACTTTATCGCAGTTTACATATTAGTAATCCCCAATTCTGTGAAAAATTGGCGTCTGCTCTCTGAGTTTTACCACATTTCTTCAAAATCAGATTCAGCGGTATGTGAAGACGAGGAAATCAGAACACATGGAGTATAATTTAACTGTCAGGGAGGCGCGCACAAACAGAAGCACAATTAAGTTAAAATACTTGAATACAGGACTTTGTCAGTATAACAATTCTAAAACTTGTGGTAATATACGCAAGTGTATACTTGTAATCAACGCAAAAAGATTTCACGTGGTAGTTGTCATTGATGGAAGCGCACTCTTTTCGGGTGGTGATTCTCGGCCTCTGAAGAAAGAGGTGTATCGATCAATATACCCAGTCATATTTAGCTGTGCTACTGAGCCACTTGTTAGTATATCATGGTTGTTCGAAGCCTCCTCGTCACATATGGTCGCAAAAACTGTCTCTGCCGGTTATCCCCGAACCTCCGGCAACTCGTCGATTTTGATGAGGAAATGGGGCAGTTTTTCATAAAAGTATCTGACGACGCATTACCTTTTGCATTATTTTCATATTGTCATTTATATATTGAGGAGAGGGTACGAAGCGTAGGCGCGCTAGTGCTAAAGAAATCAGTTCTGTTCCAGCCTTGAGGAAGACAAGTCTCTACACAAGCCCTCTTTACGGATTTTCGTCGCGAGCTTCCATCTTGCCCTTTTTTTGGTTTTTTTATATTTCTGATATAGTTATTCAGTATTTGGCATCGTGCGTTCCACCAGACACTTCATTCGAAAGAGTCCAAGATATCCATCAGCCAAATTCCGTGGAGTCACAGCAAAACTAAGGTGAAGGTTATATTAGCCAAATGGGTCGACCGATGGCGTAGCCATGTCGTGGCACCACACCAGGCCCTTCCCCCCCCCCCCCCCGCCCCTTCCGAATTTTTTTTGCTATGGCATACTGAACGAAAAACGTCCATATCAAAAAAGTGCCCGCTCCCCCCCCCCCCCCAAAAAAAAAAAAAAACGTCGGCCGCAAGGGCCTACGCCCTTGCGGCCGACGTGTCAATGACGGCTCAAATAATGCTGATTTGATAAAAGCGGAGCAAGATTATAATGGTCGTTAAAAAATAGGGGACCATAAAGCTTCCCCTTTAGGAGTTCAACGCCATAGCGATTATAGTGCCTACTTCAAACACTTAATGCATGAAATTTTTTGGAACGAGCTATGCACCCTTTATGTAGCCTTAAAAAAAACAGACGCAGTAGCGTGTGTGCGTTTTGTAGTGGGTTACCGGCTTTAAACCACGAAATAAATATGACAATCAAATATTCTGACGCCTGGTTTTCATGGGCGCTCGTACCATGCAATATTACTGCAATATTTCATGTTGCATGCATTGTGAAGCATGCATGCAGGACGTGTGTGTTTGTAAAGCATGCCACTTTCACTGCATTTCCCAGCAGATGAAGTTATTTTCAATGTATTCACAAGCAGACGCTTGGTCGTGTGGTAGAACATCCGCTCGACACTGCAACGACGCATGTTCCATTTGCACAGCTCCCTCCTGGCCGACCAACTTTGGGCCGTTCAGCGGCCGATAGGCTTGGCCTAACGGTCCCGACGTGGCAGTCGCCCGCTGACCGCACCTTGCAGGACCTCAATAAAGTTTCGCAACCAACCAATTCAGACCCAAACGACCCGGGTTCAACCCCACTGTGACCCCGGGGTTTTCGTTATTTACTCTATTTGCATCGTTATAGATACTTCAGCGAAGCATATGATTTTTCGTTCACGACCAACGACGCTGAAGATGAGGCGAATGCCGGAATTTCAGCAAAACGAGCTCTTTAACGCTGCTGCGTTAAAATGGGAGTAGGTGAATAAAACAGAATGGTGAAATATTTCATAGGTGTGAGTTTACTGATTTTTGTTTTATTTATCCGAAGGCAGGGAGCCCAAGTTATAACGTAGCACACATCGAGGACGAACGCTGCTGTTGTCCTCGGTATTCCGACCCCAATACATACCGTTAAAAAAAGTCACATTTCATATTCATAAGTGTTTATGCCGTGCGCCTTCATTGTGTGACAGAATATGGTGTCACGACAGCGTCCACATATCCAATCACACCGCGGCAGAAGCGGGATAGAAAGCGGGCGCCACTGATGCATTGCCAAAAATTATTCGCCCTTGCGATCACTCTGGATGAACTTACACTAGTCCTTTTATTTCCCTGTATCCACGCTCATGACGGCATTGAAAAAAATTACCTGAAGGTATAAATGCAGCATTTCTACAATGTAGAACCTAGTTACAGACAAATCGTTAGAATATTAGATGTGAAGTGGGGGTGTTTAGGTTCACTGCAATACCGGCTGCCTCGGCGAATAGGCTCACTTCGCTTCCACCTTTCCTGTACTCAACGAGGGTATACCAAAAAAAGTCAATTACATAGGCGAAAGTAGGATAGAAAACACATATGATAACATTAATTGCAAAAATAAACGACCCACGGCGACTTCTACTGCTAGAAAACGGTGGCAGTAACGGTGTACATACACGTAGATTTGCCGCTTTGAGGTGTCAGAGATGGCGCGTTGCTGTGATGTACTCCTCACTAGCCAACATTGGCGTAGGCGGAGGAGAGGATGCTTGCACTCATTTAGAAATTTTGAAGTTTTGTATGTGTAGACACGCACATATAAAAATGAACACACAAGCATAAATAAGATATGCACAAATTCCTTCCCCCTTTCCCTCGCTGACTGCGGCACGGACCGATGTGCGCGGAACAGACGGCGAAACGGTAGGCAAGCAAACGCGGAAATGCGACAAAGCGTGGCTGCACGTATACAGTTGCCCTATAGCCCCGCCGCGGTGGTCTAGTGGCTAAGGTACTCGGCTGCTGACCCGCAGGTCGCGGGTTCGATTCCCGGCTGCGGCGGCTGCATTTCCGATGGAGGCGGAAATGTTGTAGGCCCGTGTGCTCAGATTTGGGCGCACGTTAAAGAACCCCAGGTAGTCTAAATTTCCGGAGCCCTCCACTACGGCGTCTCTCATAATCATATGGTGGTTTTTGGGACGTTAAACCCCACAAATCAATCAATCAGTTGCCCTATAGTAACGACAGAGATATCTTCCATCCGCTTCATTCTTGCTGGCTTGCGTTCCGTTTCTTGAATTCTCGATCCTCGTCACCTTTCTATCAAACAAAAGAAAAATATTGTCTCGGGCTGATAACATGCTTGCCATTCTTGAGTGAAAGTGGTGAAAGCGCGTCGATAATACAATCGAGAGGCCTCACTATTTCAGGACTGGTTTTGTGAGGTGGTTGATTGATTGATATGTGGGGTTTAACGTGCCAAAACCACCATATGATTATGAGAGACGCCGTAGTGAAGGGCTCCGGAAATTTCGACCACCTGGGGCTCTTTAACGTGCACCCAAATCTGAGCACATATGCCTACAACATTTCCGCCTCCATCGGAAATACAGCCGTCGCAGCCGGGATTCGATCCCGCGACCTGCGGGTCAGCAGCCGAGTACTTTAGCCACTAGACCATCGCGGCGGGGCATTTTTGTGAGGTGAAAGAACATTCTTTGAACACGTTCTTTCTTTAGTCTACTCTGCTTTCCTGATCGCACGTTAAAGAACCCCATGTGGTCGAAATTGCCGGAGCCCTCCACTACGGCGTCTCTCATAATCATATATTGTGGTTTTGAGACGTTGTGGTTTTGGAAGTGTCGCACTGTGCTGCATATTGGGTTAATAAGAGGAGAGGGCACGGCACCCGGCCGGCGGACAGCATGGCTAAACCGCTGCTGCTGCTTTTGCAGGTTGCGCCGTGTTTTTTTTTTTTTTTGGTCTGACTGCAATGACGACGAACTGCGACGATGGAAATGCATACTTCCTGCCGCCCCACGGAATCCTGGAACCTGGAAATGCCGATAATCTACCGACCCGAGTGACGTCACCTGCGGCAACGGAATCTAAGGAGCAACGAGACATGAGCCGCCTCAGAGGGCACGGCACCCGGCCTGCGGACAGCATGGCTAAACCGCTGCTGCTGCTTTTGCAGGTTGGTTACCGCAATGAAATAGCTTCTTGTCGTAGTGATGATTTATGCTTGTTGATCCTGCCGTGCCCTCGAAGATCTTACTGTATTATAGTTGACTGTTGGTCTGCTGTGATGATGCTTGTTATGTCGGGAGACGTCGAGGAAAACCCCGGGCCTGCTACGACGCAAGAGCTCTTGCAAACAATCTTGAAAAATCAGGCCAAGTCTGAACGTGATTTGAATGCTATTAGAGACCAAATATCTGAAGTAAACGTTAAAACAGATAAGCTAACCAGTTCGCTTGCTTTAATCCATGAAACGATGATTGATTTGTGGGGTTTAACGTCCCAAAACCACTATATGATTATGGGAGACGCCGTAGTGGAGGGCTCCGGAAATTTCGACCACCTGGGGTTCTTTAACGTGCATCCATGAAACGAACCTGAGAATTGATACTTTAGAAGCTACTGTCCGGCAGCAGGCGGAAAGGCTGGTAGACTACGAAAACAGAAGCCGGATACACAATCTTTTGGTATTCGGTCTCGCTGAAAAAAGTATAGAATCTGAATCTGATTTAATGGTTTCGGTCGTGGACAAGATATTTAAGGAAAAACTTGATGTAGAAGTTAAGACGATCGAGAGAATACATCGCATGGGAAAGGTACAGCCCGGGAAGGTTAGGCCAGTCATCATGAGATTATATGACTACCGGGAAAAGGAGCGTGTGATGAAAAATTGTCCGAGGCTGAAGGGAAGTTCCATAAGTATTAGTAATGACTATGCGAGTGAAACAGTGGAAGTGCGGAGGAAGTTATGGCAAAGTGCGGCTGCTGAGCGTGATAGCGGTTTGAAGATTTCCCTGAATCACGATAAGCTCAAAATAAACAATAAGCTCTACACTTGGGATCAGAACAAGAATGAGCGTTGTGCGATTAAGGCAAGAGGGATGGCAGGGCTGCCCCTGCTACCCGCTCGAATGCCGCATCTGCGTCAAACACTTCCCCTTCCACTTCTGCGCCAAAATCGTAGCTATGCCTGCTTGTACTAAATGCTCGTAGCATTGTAAATAAGGTCATGGAACTCGAATTCTTGTTGCTGTCACATAGCCCACAAATTGCTGTCATAACCGAAACATGGTTGAGCCCTTCAATTCCCGACGATTGTATTATTCCCCCCGGATATTTTGTACACAGGTCGGATAGGGATTCACGGGGTGGTGGAGTGGCCATTCTTGTGAAGTCGCCTATTACGACAGAAAGAATTGATTGCTCCCTCTCCGAAAATATTTGGTGCAAAATATTTGTTGAAAAAGTGGTTTTTATTGTCGGAGCAATTTACAGGCCCCCTGGTACCACGCCTGATTTTCTAGACCAACTGAAGAGTTTCTTGTGCAAATTTCAGAATGGCAACACGAGGTTGATACTGACTGGCGATTTTAATTTACTGCATATAAATTGGGAAAGTGTCACACCTGGACATATAGATACTCTGAGCGGTGATAAAATCTTGGAAATAATGTTCTCTCATAACTTAACACAGATTGTAAAAGAAAATACGCGAGTAACTGCTAATTCAGAAACATTGCTTGATTTAGTGTTCCTATCACGCAGAGTGACACATAGCACTTTATCGGTCGAAGAGGGAATATCGGACCACAAACTGATAATTGTTAATATCCAACTAGACGCAAAGCCGCAGAAGCGGCCATTTATCCCGGTTCAGATTAAAAATTTTGCACGGGCCGATGACACGTCTATACTTGATTATCTAGAATTGTCCCTTCAGGAGTTTGAACTTGCTTCTGTCTCAGAATCTGTAGAAGAGTTATGGCAACATTTCAAAATCATTATGAAGCATTGTACGGATAAATTTGTTCCAACTCGTAAAAAGAAAACGAAACAGCGCAGTCCGTGGATAACCCGGGGAATCGTCCATATCAAACAAAAAATAAAACGCATGCGGAAAAACAAAACCAACTCGGTAGCAATCGTACAATTGCGGGGACAGTTAAAGACAGCATTAAAAGAATCCAAACGAAAGTTTTATACCGAAACCCTTGCTGACTTCATTAAGTCTTCCCCTCAAAAATTTTGGCTTCACTTGAGGAATAAAAAAGAAGAAATTGAACAGATAAAAATTGGACCCGAGGCAGTGAGGCAAAAACTGCAGATAGCAAATTCTTTCAACCACTTCTTTCAGTCGGTCTTCACTAGAGTTGAAACCGATCAGGTGGATGCTGACCAGGCCTGCCCGCGCGCCTGCGCAATGGAGCCCTTTGCTATCATGCAGGAAGGGGTGTTCAGTCACTTGCTAGGGCTTGACACTGAAAAGGCAACCGGACCAGACGAAATTCCCAGTGAATTCTTATGATGGTATGCCGAATGGTCATCCTTTTATTTAACAATCATTTTCAGAAAATCTCTTGAAACGTCCTCATTACCGCAAGACTGGCGCACTGCAATTGTAAAGCCTATATACAAAGCTGGCAATCGGCTTCATGTGAACAATTATCGCGCCGTTTCACTGACCTCTGTGTGTTGCAAAATCATAGTACATTTCATAGCAAGGCACATTACTATTTTTCTTGAGTCAAAAGAGTTTTTTTATCCCCATCAACACGGATTCAGGAAGGCGTTGTCAACTGTAACTCAACTGGTAGAAACAGTTCATGATTTTTATTTATCTCTCCAAGGTCAACAACAAATAGACGTCATTTGTGTAGATTTCGCCAAAGCTTTTGATAAAGTTCCTCATAGCAAATTAATTTTTAAGCTTAAGCAACTAGGACTTAGCTCAGATATACTAAATTGGATAACCGCGTATTTGGAGAACCGTCAACAAAAAGTACGTGTAGATGATTGCACATCTAGTTCATTGAAAGTATTGTCTGGTGTCCCACAGGGGTCTGTGCTGGGTCCTTTGTTGTTTTTAATTTTTATAAATGATATTTCCGCAGTTGTCGAAAGCCCGGTTAAAATCAAACTTTTTGCAGACGATTGTTTATTTACGCTCCTGTAACTAACGCAAACGACCAAATCAAAATTAATCGCTCTCTGCAAGCCTTGCATAATTCGTGCGCCAAGTGGGGGATAGAAATCAACTTTTCATAGACTACGTTCATCCATATAACCAAGAAAAAATCCGTACTCGCATATGATTATAAAATCGGAAATAGCCTTCTGACCAGAACACACAGCTTTAAATACCTGGGGGTGACTATTACCAGCGATTTGGGGTGGCACACTCATGTTGAGGAGGTATGTTCAAAGGCCTACAGGAAGTTGTTTTACTTGAGGAAAAAACTCGAACATGCCCCTAGAGATGTCAAATTACTTTCATATAAGACATTTGTTCGCCCTATTTTGGAGTATGCGTCTTCTGTATGGAGTCCTCATCAGCAGTCACTGAGAGATAAAATAGAAAAAATTCAAAGGCTAGCAGTGCGCTCCATTTGCTCGCGGTACCGGAGGACAGAATCCGTCACAAATTTGTTAAAATCATGTGCGCTAGAACCCCTGCAAGTGCTCCGCGAAAAGCAAAGGTTAAAACTCCTGTTTCAAATTATAAGAGGCGAAATGAAAATAAATAAAGACACATACAAACAACCTGCACCCAAACGAGGAGCTCGGTTGAACCATAGTCACCCAATAAGGCCTTTTTGGGCGCGTCTGGATGGCTTTAAAATTTCTTTTTTTTCCGTATAGTATAGAAGTGTGGAATAGACTTCCAGAGTACGCTGTTACTAGCGCAAATGTCAAAGCGTTTGAGTGTTCGCTAGAATTGTACTACCAGCAACATGAAACGTAATGTCTGTTTTGTCATTGTGTATTGTTTTTGTTTTGTGTTTATATTCCTCCCTGTAATGACCCTCAAGTGAGGGTTACAGTATTGATAAATAAATATATAAATAAAGCCGTTCTTGTTATCCTGCCTCGTGCGTGGTTTCTGCGCCGTGCCGGAGAAAACGACGAACCCAGCCGCAACGTCTTCGCACGCAGCGGCAGTGGAGGACGTCGCATCCCTACACGGTTGCGCATAGTAGGTAAGCTTTGTGCAAACCTGTCTCCCCAACTTGTGAATTAAAGATTACTCGTGGGCTGCTGACCCGCAGGTCGCGGGTTCGAATCCCGGCTGCGGCGGCTGCATTTCCGATGGAGGCGGAAATGTTGTAGGCCCGTGTGCTCAGATTTGGGCGCACGTTAAAGAACCCCAGGTGGTCGAAATTTCCGGAGCCCTCCACTACGGCGTCTCTCATAATCATATGGTGGTTTTGGGACGTTAAACCCCACACAACAACAAAGATTACTCGTGCAGTTTGTGCTCATATAGTGAAGTGAATCGCACTTGCAACACAGTCGCCCTAAATAATTCGAAGGTATGCTTGGTTGATGGAACGTGTTTATGTATCGGCTAATGAAGCATAGCTCATGTGCATCGTGATTGAACCTGTACCAAAACGCATTGTTTGTTTCTCTAAACCCGCTATACATCAGTGATCAAACTTTCCAGTGTAATCTCTGGTGCTCACGTAAGTTCGAGAACAAGATTTACTACACGTGTCCTGCGTCAAATCTTATCCAGAACTTTTTTTGGTCTCCTCTTCCGAAGGTGCACTGAAGTACACGGGATGGCGCCACTTTTATTTTTGCTACTGTTCGTGTCTTGTCCTCACTGCTGTTCATGATCACCTATATGTACGGCTCATGCCCACTCTTCGAGGCGGGCCAAAAACAAATTATTTATAAAAATGTGTTCACATAAAAATTGTATGACTAATAATTCATATAACAGGTAAACTAAGTTAATGACGCTAACTTAGATAGTTCTGGTCAACACCACCCTGATTCATTGAAAAAAATTTCACCGTAGAATGGAAGTCTCAGTGATATTGACGATGAGGGGCTCTCAAGGATAGAATATTTTAAATTACGAAATCTGATCGGATTCGATTAAATACTGTTTCACAATTGTTTACCCTCAGTATATTGAAGCAGATGCATGATAAGAAATAATTTTCAGTTGTTTCTTTCCTTGTTAACACACTAGCAAAGAGGGGAAGGAGCCAGACCATCTCTGTGCGTATGTACTATATAGTTCAATTTCGGAAATCGAGAGTGTAATTTTGTAAAAGTAACTATACTACTTTCCGTGTTGAACAGAAATTGCTACACCAAGTGAACAAGAGGTTTCGATACTCGTTCAGGTGAGTGATAAATGACTTCACAGGGTCAAGTTATTACTCGCCTTCTGAATCTGTCACGAATCATGAGGGCTGTTGTCAGAATAATTGAGAATATCGGATTATGAGAGCGCCTTTCGCCGGAGCGTCCACTATTTGGTCATTTTCATTAATTTTTGTTTCTTTGTGGTCCGGTGCCCAGATTAAACTGATTAGAGTTATGTGTGTAGAAAACAGAAAAGGAAAAGTTCGTGACATAGTTTAGAATAATAATAATAACGTTCCAAAGACACGTGATGATTGAGAAACGTTATTTTAGCGAGTGCCGAACCCAGAAATAAAGTATCTGTAATTAACTGTGGCCACACTTGAGATTGATGGGCTGAGCTTTCAAAATGCCATTCCGCTGAATAAACTAATAAGAAATCAGGAAATCTTAATGAGAACGAAGAATTGAACGTCTCGGAAAAAATACCGATTTTGGATTTTTATTTCAGAATGTGAATCATGTGAAGTTATTATATTTTTTTACACTTATCCGCTCAAAATGTCTCTGCAGAAGCTAGTTTAATATATGGTAATGCAAGTTTTTTGCATGATTTGGATAAATATTTTTAAAAACGTTTTTTTTTTAAATTTCTGTCTTTCATTGCCGATGCCGGTAACTTCACCCAGTTTAACATATAATGGTCCAACAAGTGGTTCTGTGGAGCCCAATCATCTACTGTATAAAATGGCAGTCGATAACATACATAAAAAACAACTCATAATGATATATACATGAAAATAATTTTTATTTTTACAGAATTTCAATAAATTTTGAGGAATGAAGGCACAGTTCGTATCCTAAATCTGCACAAAACAGAGGACAACCTCGCTTCTAAGTAGATTACATT